TGACCATCAAGATATCAATCCCTTAATGAATATGGTCACTTCTCCCATCTATGTCCTCGTAGGAACTGTACAACATCGCGATATGTACTCACTCGTGTTGTGTCTTCTGTCACCGTGATTCATCCACCGCCTACTACGCTGATCACCAGGATGGGATCTCAGCAGGAAATCTTTGACTTCCATCTGTGGACTGCACCACGTCTGCCTCACCCTGCACGTTATTGGCCAATATCCACCGACCACCACCTCACCATTCCCCCATTAACTCAGAACACGCCTGTCGTCAAAGATCGCAGTAACTATGGAATCCTGTGCACGGTCTGTGAGGCCCTGTGAACGCTCTCATCCATTCACTCAATTATTCGATGTTAAACCATGATATCTTTGTAGTCGTCATTGTCAGCAGGGCCACCTTCGCAGGCGATGAGTTTCTATACTCTGTGGATGATATTTCACGGATTTAGATAATTTACACTTGTAATCACGGACGCAACGAGCGTTCGAGGATCGTTGTCACTCAGAACAGCCTCAGTCACCAAAGTCGAGGCGAAGACAAAGCATGGGAAAGCGCAGTACCCGCGCCACCAGGTCGAGCATAAATAAGTAAAGGAAAACAGGGCACTGGTTGCGCAGTACGTCATTTAGTTGCGGCGCTACTTCGATAAAGACTTTGATAGCCGCGTACACAAAGAATCTTGGTAGGTAATTGCTCCGTCACATTTAGCAAATCATCTTGAATGCATTCCCAGGGCCAATTAGTCTTTATGCATGTGTAGCGCACGACTTTTTACACTGCTTGGACTGATAGAGGATGAGGTTGGATAATCCGAAATCGGCGTTTTGCCAACTTATCGTCTCTTATTGCACCACGGCAGATTCACGAGTTGAGCAAATTTACCTATGGAGCTAAATATGGTTTATATACAAACAGGAGTGGCCATAAGTGCAGTAGGACGTGACGCAAGTACATTCAGATGCAACAAGTCGATACTGTAAGGCAGATCGAAAAGATTTCGTAGATACTTTCAGACTATGTGCCTTCAAAGTTCACATTTATTTCCGGGGCTGTCCAAATTAAAGATCGTCCACCTGGGGCCCTTTCTTACCACGACCACCGGGGTCACCCAGCGCCCCAATTGGAAAATTGTGTAACTGAGGATGCGTTTGAATCACGACCCGCCATCTAATCTCTGCATTATCGGGACCTTGGAGAATTCTCAATGTCTCCGCATCCAGGGGGACAAAGAAGTCGACATCGAGATGATTTTGGCAATTTTGGCAACCCTGGATGTTCCAACGGCTCAAGACGGCCTCTCTGCTAACTTCTGCCTCCTTTCCATCATGCCCTCGAGCATACAGCCGTATGACGAACGACCCCGGGTAATCGGCTCGATTGATATTATGAACCCGTTTTGTGAGGACAAAGGGGTTAGGTGCGTAAGGATTAGCACCTGCCAGCTTACTGCGAAGAGTGGCATCAAGGAGTTTGGATTCAAGGAGGTGGTGAGGGGATTCCAACTGAAGAGCAATGTTCGCTAGGGAATCCAGGGAACCAGACCCGTACTCGATGCCCAGCTCATGCAGGTCAGTCACGTCATTCGAAGTATAGTATTCATTGCTTTGCTTTCTAAATGGCCGCAGAGGTGTCGTCATATTGAGTGTGGTACCCAGAGGGTAATTTGGTGGCTGCCCTTGGATCTCCAAAAATGTGCCCGGATAATCATGACGAATAGTCAAATTGCCACGCTTGGTCCTGCGCCACATAATCTGCCAGATTGACAAAACATAGTCGACGAAGCTGTGATGGAAGAAGAACAAGGGATCAAAACCGGCTGTCTCGTTATCACCCATATCGCCATTAGCACCGAGGATCGGGTCAGCGTTAAACACCCCGGCCTGGTAGAAGCCACCAATAGCGAGATGAAGTGCATTATGCGGGCTTTCCAACGAAACCACAAAGTGCTTGTCGGGATTTTCCGGATGATCCTTGATCCACTTGTTCTGAGAGGCCGTGTTTGAAAACAGCGTATAGTCGTCCGTGAAAAGGCAGCGATAATATCGATCGACAATGGAATATGTGTCTGGCTGGCGAGTATTGTCTTCATCATTCGCAATTTCAAC